AAAGTCTTTTGACATTTCTTCATATTCTAAAAACACTTTAATTTTTCTTCTGCTGTCCTTCTGTGTTCTCTGTGGGATTGACTCTGGTAGTGTCAGGTTGTGGGGGGTTTCTAGAGGACCCAAATGCAGAGACAGAAGCTGAGGTTTTTTTTTTTTGTAGCTCTAATAAGCAAAAGGTGGCAACTGAAGCAAAGGTTCACACCAAAATACAGAAAACCAATATCCAGGATCTGTCACAGGAAACACACATTAGGAACAAAGAATCAACTAGGAACCAGCAAACAGTAACTGAAGAGGAGTATATATTTCAAACAGAACAAAGACAGGGGTAATCAACTGATAGGGAGCAGGTGCGAACAGAAGAATCTAGAAGGGAGCAAGGGGCAGGAGGCTGAAACAAGACTGCAACAGAGGGTAAACAAGAAGAACTCAATACATCCAGAAAACAACACAAAATGGAAATGAAACCAATAAACTAGAAAACACAGAAAAACATGAATCAAAGTGTAAATGAAAACTAAAAAAGAAAACTTAAACAGAACCAAGAATTGTAGAATGCTGACAGGTAGTGTAATAATTAACTTCATGTTCTTCAGCCCCAAAATGACCACATTTTCACTGTTATTGATAGAAATAATAACACAAGTAATTTAAGTTTCAGGTTTAGATGAATGGGTCCCGTTGACGTTCATGGCTTGCATTTCCCTAAATAGAATATTTAAAATATGAACACATTTCAAATTGACATGAATCAATGTTTTGCTTTTTTCTTGTTTAAACCTTGGTATTGTTTAATCAAATGAGCCATAAACCTTTGACACAAATTTGTTCACTGTTAAAAGGTGGCCTATCATCCTGTTTGACCGGTGGGTTGGGCGTGCTCTGTAACGCTGGACCCACATCCTCTCTAAACAAAAGTAAATGACAGTGTTGGGCTAAGTAACAAACAACAGTCCACAGCGGTGAACTTATGACCTAAAGGGAAACCACAAGTGATACCAAAATACTTTCCAAACTCCAAAATCATGTCGACAGACCTGACCAAAGCAATAAAAAAGGTAACCCAGAACCTAAACATGACTTCTTAAAAAAAAATAAGACCATCACAGTAAACCCTCTAAATACAGTTGGATTTGGTGAACTGTATATTTTTCTTAAAATGTATAACTTGACTTTTGTTTGTGTTTGTTTGATGTTTCTGTACTCACAGAAAAATTATGCCTTATATAAACCTTTGCTGGAGCTTTAGTGTCCTCTGTTCAGTCTCATTCAGGGGATTTTGTTGTTATTTTATAACAGGGTGGCAGTAATCTGCTTAGGATACGTCCTTCCTGAAGAGCCACTACAAATATATATATACATACATATATATATATATATATATATATATATATATATATATATATATATATATATA